CAAATCTGGATTGCCCCTGGGATTAATTTTGGATGCCCCAAGTTTACTGCTGATAAGCTGCGTGATGCACGACGATTCTTGCGAATAGCTTCACTTCTAAAATGCCCCAAGCTAAATGGTTGATGAGAAGAAATCGTCTCGAGAGGATTTTACAAAAGACCTGGCATCCACCGTGCTCTAGTGTCTTCAAACTCTTAGAGAGATTCATCGAATCTCGACGTGATTACCCCGGATTGACTGTAGTTGGCACAACAAAGTCTTCAAATTTTGCCCCAATAAAGGGTAAACAAGTTGGGAAAAGCATTAACTGGGAGAAGCAACATGTTCGTGCTTACGGTCTTCAGGTGACATGCCCCTGGATATGATTTTTCTTGAAATGATTCGCCAATTACTCAACATAGTTTCAAACCTTAAAAGAATAAACTCATCACTAGTGCTTATATGTGAGCTTCCTTGATATCAAACAAATGTTTTGCAGTTAGAGAAAGTTTACTATGAGAATGAAAATTATAATGCAACAATTATGTAAGTCTTGAAGATTTTGAAAAGATATCGCACAAATTTTGCGGGTTAAAGCACCATTTATTTTTGTATAGGAAAAACATATAATACCAACATAACTATTTAGAACATTCATGGGAGTCAGGAACACTATCTCATTGAAGTATGCTTTCAAAATAACCTTGCTTCAATTAGGACTTTTGAAGGTTGTAACGTGGTCTGGTTCATGGTTTTTAGAAAAAAGATTTTAAGGCTCAAAATATTTGGTGCCCACCCATTCTTCATGATGTTCTCCAACCCTATGTTCAGTTAATTCAACATGAGTGTTCATCTTTCAAAAGGATTTTGTGACGGTCAAGGAAACGACGAGGCTTTCGGAGTAGAAACCACCCCCATGTCTTCGTGTTTGTAGTCACCAATTTGCTCTTTGCTGAGGACTTTTCTTTGTAGTCCTTTCTTTGCAATTTTTATTTTCCCTAATTTTTGCCTGAACTAATTCTTTTGAATTGATAGTCCAGCGGGATGCCTTAATTTTTCCTAAGTCACACGTTTTCATGTTTTTTTTTTGACTTAGCAGGCTTTTCTTTTTCTTGATTTTTGACTTTTTGAACAAAATGTGTGACATTAGCTTGTCTTTGGTTGTTGAGAGGATTGTGATTGCCTCGTTTCTTAATGAATGAGGGATAACATTATGGTTCCACTTCCTCTAGATTCATTATACATGAAGGATATCCCTCGTATTTTCTCTTCAAAAAACATCTTCCTTATGAATTTTGAACACTCAGTCAGATTAACTAAAAACTACCCTGCCCCAGGTTAAAATTCAAGGTTTTTCGTATAGAAAAGAAACTTCTGCTTCAAAGGCTCAAAAGGGGTTAGCAAGGGATTATCTTCCTTATATCTCCGGTTTTTAGGAATTTGAAACAATGCCTGTACATCATCAGCAAGATTTTATCCAAAAGCAAACAACCAGAGATTTTGTGTTCTTTAGATCATCATCCTCCCTTCAATCTCTGCCTAGGCAAGAGAATGGGTAACAAGTTGGTATCATAATGCCAAAAGAAATTTAAAATTTGAAAACAAATATGAGTGAAACGAATGAATTTCTTCAAGACAAACATACTCATTGTATTAAGATAATCATTCGGATGCAAACAAGTTCTTACATGCAAACAATGTTTTGATAACAAGAAAAATTACAAAAAGCATGAATAAGTTAATAATCTAGGAAGGCTTTCCATCTGGGCTTGAATTACCGAAAACATCCTTCAAAACTCAAAGTGACCATCAATCGTGTTTACTCTTCGGCACATGCTTGATTTGAACTTCAAAACCAACATTCTTGAATGACAAGATACCACTTCTGACCAACTTCTGAACCTCAATCTTCAAAGCAAAGCAACCCTCCAAGTCATGCCCAGGAGCACCTTGATGAAAGGTACAAGTCAAATCAGCTTTGTAGTACCAATGTATCTTCTCAGGAACCTTCGGTGGAGGTCAGGTCTGAACCAAATTCCTCTGCATCAGGATAGGGAACAACTCTGTATAGGTAATTGGAATTGGATCAAACTGGGTTTTCCTCTGATTAGGAACTTGCTGATTCTGTTGATGAATAGGAGAAACATGATGATTCTGACGATGATTATTTCTTCCTCTGCTTCTCTTCTTGGAAGAGTTATTATCAAACTTCTTCACACCATTAGTTGAGCTACCATCTTCATATGAACATCCCTTTCCGACATCTTCTTCTAGACGCACTCCCATATTCACCTTGTCAGGAAAGTCATTAGGTGCATTAACCAACACCTTCTCATGAGAGAATGATTTTAGAGTTTCAGTGAAGACTTTTATCATCGCTTCCTCCCTCCTAAAAGGATTGACTTGGGCGGCAACCAAAATTTCGACCAAACCAGTTAAGTGCTCCACACTAGCTTTCAAATTAGTCATCTCTCTACGAAGTTCAAAAACCTCTTGCTTGATATTCTCCATTGTTCTCTTAGCGCGAGTGTTGTACTGGTGAGACCAAAGGAAAAATAAGACTCGGAAAAAGACCTTTGAAAGTGAAACAAAAAAATGTAGAATGATGTATGATATGCAAAAGAGAATTTTTATTTGATTTTCAAGGAACTCAAGATATTAAGTTGTAAACATCCAAGTATGAAGATAGAAGATGAATTTTAAATTGGCTCCAAACGTTGATCAAGTTATCGTCAAGATCAATCATCCATTTTGGTGGATTAGGGTTTTCGCCCTATCAACACCCAAGATCCATTGAGCTTGACGAAACTTGTAATGTTTACAAAGAAAGACCTCCAAATTCCTTCAAAGTCAAGTGAAAAGGGTTTTATGGATGCATGAATGCATGGCTATGCAACAACCACCAGTAAGGTCACAAATAAAGTTGAAAGGTTCAACGTCACGAGCATGGAGTCAAAGGTAAAGAACATCCCCAAGGCATGTACTAACGGTTTAATCACACCTGCAAGACAAGGTTCTAAGAGTTCCCGGAGTCTACATTCCTCCTTCGGATATTACCAACGTCTTGATTACTCAATAATCAGCAATATTCTCAAGAGAAACTCATCCGAGCGTAGCATCGCGTGACAACTACTTTCGGATTACTCTGTTATAATCTCCGCGCTACACCTAAAAGTCCAAGGTGGATTAAGGGTTCTACGGTTCCCAGCTTCTCTGGCTCCCAGGTCGAAAATAATAATGTCTTCCCGATTACTCGGTAAACAAATATTACGTTCAAAAGGGCCTTCCACTGAGTGGGGGATCTCATGCCTCCTTCTTCGGGATTACTCCCTCAAAGTTAACATGACTATACCGCCCGTCCTATTCCTAAGTGTAACTTAGTCCGGGTATAGGACTTGTCCTTTGTAAATATTATCAACACCCAAATAATCATAATATATACATATAATCAAACAATCAAATAATGATTAAACAGATAAAACAAATTAGGCTTAACCCACATAGGGATGGACCAGCAAGAGGTCAATCTTTCCCCAGCAGAGTCGCCAATTCTGTAGCGGTGAAAATCGCAGATCAAGCTATTAATTAACTTGACTCGCAAAAAGCAAGAGTCGCCACCACGCTTTATTATTTCCAAGGGAAAAGGGAAAAGAGAGAAATAAAACCCTAAAATATGCAATGTAAAGTAATATTTAAAAGTAATGAAAATACGATGCATTTTTGAAAGAGATTGAGAGTTCGGGGGTTGGTTATACAATGGGAAGGTATTAGCACCCAATGCATCTGCGGTACTCCGCAGGAACCTTTTGAAATATCTGTTTTTTGGTTAAAATTGTTTGTTTAGTTAAATGGGTACGTTTGGCTAAAAGATGGGTATGGACGAGATTTTGAAGATGCGACGACCTAGTGTCGAAGTTTTGACTTAAAAGGTGTGAGTTTAAAAATTGAATCTTTTGGGAAAATTATCTTAGGTTTAACAAAATAGTAAACAAACAAAAGATGAATGAGGGTATTCGCACGATTGGATGAGATGTATTTGATGACGTGAAGTCAACAAATTTAAATCTTTTTCTTGGAGTAAGCAAAATAAAATGAACATCAAAATATAAACATTCAGAAGTTCACAAGAAAATAAATCTGACAAAAACAAATTAATGATCAAGAGGCACCGAGAAATTGAAATGACAGAAATATACAAATAAAAAGGAATATAACTAATTATCTAAAGAAGTTATTCGAACTAAATTAAAAATTACTTACTAAAATAATTCTAAACTAATTACAAATTCTAAGGTTATAAAAAAAATCTAGTATTATTGAATTTGATCTAAACTAAACTAAAGCTTTAAAATTTAGTAAGTTAAATCTAGATTAAATTAAAATCCTAAGGTTACTAAATTAAATCTAAAACAAATGAAAATTTCAAAGTTACTAAACTAAATCTAAATCAAATAAATTCTAAAACTACTAAACTAAATTTAAATTAAATAAAAACTCTAAAGTTATTAAACTAAACTAAAACAAATAAAATTCTAAAATTTACTAAATGAAATAAAATTCTAAAGTTATAAAATAAATCTAAACTAATTAAAGAATTCTAAATTAATATTAAACTAAATTAATTATAAGATTTACTAATATATTTTTTTTATTTTTTTATAACTAATTAAAAGGAATTTAATTGCATTAACCTAAATATCTAAAAGTATAAAGAAATAGAAAGGGTGTGTATAAGCATGTTATCGGCCCTTTAGGCCCAAACTCAACATAAAGACACTAACTAATTTTAAATGCGTGCCATTGATAGTAAACAATAACATAAATTTGAGACCCACCCTGAATACCAGCAGCGGCGCCCCATTGAGGTTTTTGCCTCTTTGACTTTTCCATCTAAACACATCCACCATTAGTATCTTTTTCATTTCCGCTTTCCTCCTCTCTGTAGATAAATCAACCCAAAACCAAAACCAGAAGATAAAAAATGAAAGAGAAAGTTCTTAAATGAGCAAAAACTATTAGTTCTAAAGAACCTCTTTTGCTGCAGCAATAACAGCCTCCTTAGTGATACCAAACTCCTTGTATATTTTTCCTGCTGGAGCACTAGCTCCGAAACGGTCGATACCGATCGCTTTTCCTTTGCTTCCAACTATTTTCTCCCATCCAAACGTTGTTCCGGCTTCAATGCTTACCCTAGCCGTGACAGCAGCAGGGAGGACGAAGGAAATTGGAAGGGAGTAGCTAGCGGACCGGTGTAGTGAAATTGAACGAAGGTAGTATGTTGATGAGGATGGTGGTGAGATGATGAGGTTAGTTAAGAGTAGATGGGTTACGGTGAATTGATGGTGTTGGAAGAAGGAAGAATTTGAGGGAGGTTGTATTAATGAAGAGGGAACAAAAGGGATCGCTGGGTTGATTTAGTTTAACAGTGATTGCCGGATGTTGTTGGGAGGAGATGAGATAAGTGAGGTGGAGAAGGGGGTTGATGTGTGCGGATTGAGATAGAATTGAAGACAGGGTTAGGTGATGTTGTATGGTGAGTTCGGTGAAGGGTGTTGATGGTAGTGTGCTGGCAATTGAAGGGGTTAATGTGAAGGTGGGTGGTGAACCACGTAGCTAGCGGAATTAATGCCGGTTCCGGTGACCGGGATGGTTGCCAAATGAACCATGAATACAGCAAATCCAATGGGAAGTGGAGACAAAACCGGCACATGAGAATCTCTAGCACTTCTCTAAGGATCAGTGGCAGAGAAAACAGTGTAAACCAAAACAAAAGTCCCAACAATCTCAGCACCTATTCCAACACTAGTACTATACCCATCATGAAGAAAATTAGCTCCACCATACCTATCAAAGTAAGAACTTTGAAAAGCCTTAACCAACCCAACTCCACAAATAGCCCCCAAACTCTGAGACACCATGTACATAACTGCTCTCACCAAAGACACCTTACGCGCCAATAGTAGCCCAAATGTCACTGCTGAAATTCCAGCAGTACAGTAAACAAGGTCAAAGATCATGCCACCAAAAGCCCAAGCAATACCAAGAATACCAATACCACCACACTCATCACCACCAGCTTTAACATCAGTTTAGATACTGTAACCAATCACAGTCAAAACAGTAACGTAAAGGAAAAGAAAAGTTGCAATGAACTCGGCAATAAGGGCCCTGTAAAAGGACCATTTTGTGAGTTCTTCAGTGTCAATCAGTGGTGCTGGAGGAGGGTCATAGTAGTCTTCGTTAGAGAAAGAGCCACGTTCAGCAACTTCAACGTCTTTTTCCATTGGGATTACCCTTTTGAAACAACACAGTAAAACAATAATGGAAGTTGTTAGAGAAGAGAGAAAGGAAGAAACTTTTGTTGCAAAAAGAGAGAGGGAAAAAAATAAAGAGTATTTTTTTGTTACTGTAAGTAGAAGAAGAAATAGAGAGTTAAAGAGAGGAAGAGATAAAATGCTACTGTGTGTTGTTTTTGTTTTTGTTGTCCTTTGCAAAGAAAATAAGAGACCTTTAGATAGAACAATGAATAGGAAAATTGATTTCAAGGACTGATCAGAACCGTTCAAAATCATAAATCCGCAAATTAAGTTATCAACCAATAGAAATAGAGCAAGGTGTATTTAATTTTTTTTATGACAAAAACGCCCTTAAATGGAATAAAAACTGAAAGTATTAAAATTAATTCAATTTAAAATAATTTTTTTGAATAAAAATAAAGAGCTAAAATGACCGAAAACAATAAAAAAAACGGACAAAAATTTATCCGAAAAAATAAAATGAACACGTTAAAATAAACTACATGTCACAAAGATTAAATAAAAAATATTCAAAAAGTCGAAATCAAAATAAAATGATAATAAAAATATCGGGCTAAAACAGATGTTTACGGTTAAAAACGAGACATCGAACTGTACCGAAAAAATAAAGCGAGCATACCGTCATAATCTACGCGAAACGCAGATTCGTAAAATGATCGGTAAAAGGTGAAAACTTGAAATACTTTCTCGCTAATTTCCCGCATAGTGTCGAATCGCTTTTAACAGTCTGTCTATAAAACCGAAATATTTTATTATCAACATATAAACAACTTGGAGCAATGAAAGAAAATAGTAAACGGATAAAAATGAATGAAGTGAAATGTCGGGCATTTTACAACTGAAAGACGATGCAAACTTTGATTTAAACTGACTTTTTCTGGTCAACTTAAATACGACTAATGATGCAAAATGTGATGAATTAAGATATTTACTAATGATTGTGACCAAATAACAAAATATGATATGAAAGTGCGACTAAAACATATTAGGGGCGAAATTTAGGGTGCAACAGTTGTGCCTTGATGAATCAGTCTTCGAGAATCCATAATCAACCGTACTTTTGGCTTGGGAGACTCAAAACCTTAATTGAGGCGCGACACCTGATGCTCTTGATTCAGACCTGTCTCTGCACATGACACAAAAGAAAACATGAACATACACCTTTGTATGCGATTGGAAATTAGTGATACATATGCTGAAAATGTTCAAAACACTTGACAATCTTCGCATAGTCAAAGCTCGAAGGTGAGAGGTTAAAACCGATCGTATTTCGTGACCTAAACTTATCTTAAAAAAATGCAAAAATAAAAATGGGATCTTAGGTCAAAAATTGGGGTACAACACTTAGGTTTCACTTCAAGTGCTCAAAAGGTTATACGTCGTTCCCGTGCTGGAGGGCCACCCTTGAAGATTAGCAACCGAGAGGTCAACGTGATAGAAGATGGTGAAGAGGATTGCAACTTGGAGGATTGGATCTTTCCGACTATCAATGGAGGACTTCGCAATTAGGAGGCCAGAGACTTTGTCCCAATAACTTTCATCCCTCAGTAATTTATCTTTTCTTTTTGTTGTTGGATCTGTAATATTCACAAACAATTCGCACTTATAAAACCTTGTGTCTTTCCCGAGGCACAATGGTCCATTTGTAAGGGTTGTTAGTTTCATCTTCATATGACATTCAATGAATCATGGACGTTTTTCGCATGTAAACTTTTTGGCTCATTGCTTTTATTTTACATTTTATTTTATTTTAAAGGTGGCTATACCCTTACACACACCCATACTCATAAATGCAGGTACTCATCCACTCTGGATCCCATGGATAACGATACTGCTATGGCATTTTGTAACTCTGAGGATCTAATCTACCAAGCCGAAGACGAAGGTGAGGAAGATTGTGAGGTACCAGGGGGACTTGCCAGACTGCTACAACAATAGGAAAGAGCCATTCAGCCTCACAAAGAACTGATGGATACAATCAACTTGGGTACCAAAGAGGATAAAAAAGAGGTTAAGGTGGGTGCCAATCTGGAACCCAGTGTCAAAGAGCGCCTGATTCAACTGTTACATGACTATGTTGAGATCTTTTCCTGGTCATATGAAGACATGCCAGGACTTGATACAGACATCGTGGTACATCGTCTGCCTACAAGAGAAGATTTCCCGCCAGTAAAACAAAAGGTTCGCCGCATGAGACCTGATATGTCAGAAAAGATTAAAGTGGAGGTCATGAAGCAATTCAATGTTTTATTCTTGGTTGTCACTTCCTACCCTCAATGGGTTGCCAACATTGTTCCCGTACCTAAAAAAGATGGCAAAGTACGAATGTGTGTGGATTATAGAGATTTGAATAGGGCGAGCCCTAAAGATGATTTTCCACTCCCCCACATTGATATCCTGGTTGACAATACCGCACAGCACAAAGTGTTTTCCTTCATGAACGGATTCTCAGGTTATAACCAAATCAAAATGGCACCTGAAGACATGGAGAAAACTACATTTGTCACACAGTGGGGTACATTCTACTACAAGGTGATGCCATTCAGATTGAAGAATTCTAGGGCAACCTATCAACACGCCATGGTAGCTTTATTTCACGATATGATACATCATGAAATAGAGGTCTACATAGACAATATGATATCCAGATTGCAAACGGAAGAAAAACACCTTGATCACTTATAAAAGTTGTTTGAGAGACTGAAGAAGTATAAGCAGAGGTTGAATCCAAACAAGTGCACATTTGGAGTACGGTCCAGTAAACTCTTAGGTTTTGTCGTCATTAACAAAGGTATTGAGGTCGATCCTGCCAAAGTTAAAGCAATACAAGAGACGCCTGCCCCTCGTACTGAGAAGGAAGTCAGGGGATTCTTGGGACGCTTGAACTATATTGCCAGATTCATTTCTCACTTAACAGCTACTTGTGAGCCAATCTTCAAACTATTGAAGAAAGATCAAGTAGTCAAATGGAATGATGAATGCTAAGTTGCTTTTGAAAAAATCAAAGAATACTTACAAGAGCCTCCTGTGTTGATACCACCAGTCGAGGGAAGACCATTGATCATGTATCCAACTGTTTTAGAAAACTCAATGGGGTGTGTATTAGGGTAGCATGATGAGTCTGGCCGAAAAGAGCACGCTATTTATTACCTGAGCAAAAAGTTTACCGACTGTGAAACCAGATATTCACTGCTCGAGAAAACTTGTTGCGCTCTGGCATGGGCTGCTCGCCGGCTAAGACAGTATATGCTGACTCATACTACCTTATTGATATCTAAGAGGGATCCGATAAAATATATCTTCGACAAGCCTGCTCTTTTTAGGAGAATAGCTAGATGGCAGATGATCCTAACAGAATACGACATACAGTATACTGAAGATGTGAAAAACACAAGAAGGGGGTTTGAATTGTAAAACTTGAAATCAAATGCAGGCAACACGTTATTTTTATCCTGGTTCATTTGATCTCAAACTACTCCAGTCCACCCGTCAAGGTGATTTCGCCTCTCTCCAACGAGGTCTTAATCCACTATATTCAACTGAATACACAACTGCTTTAACAACTGTTAAAGCCTTCTTGAGTCTAACCACAGACCGGTTTATCTCAAGGAAATTCTTTTACAGATAAATGAACAAATGTGTGTTTAATGTTTTCTAGAAAAACTATATATCACAACTGTGATAATACACAATATACAGCTTAGATGAAACTAGATTGCTAGAGCTATAGAGTAAGCGTGGTTGAAAGCTTTTGCAAAAGTGAGAGCGTGCTTGAGGATGATTAGCTTAGGCGTGTATATGCGTGTAGAGTATTAGCCATTTCTTTTCTCACTGACTTGTTTAAATAGCCTAGGAATAGATACGTTGTTGTCCATAAATCTATTTCAATGCTCATAACATTCTTTCCTTTTTGAGAAGATCTTTGTCTTGGAATAAAGTCGTTGGTAATTAAATTGTCTTGAATGCATAGTAACGTTGACACTTCAGAGTGTTCTGCTTAATGAAAATCAGAGTGTTCTTGGCTTTAGCTTATTCTGGCGCTTCATAGTACTGGTGACATGGTAAGTATCTTGCTCAGAGTCAGAGTATGTTTTGCGCAGATTCTGTTCATCAGGCTTTCGTGTATAGCACATGTTTGATCTTCTGATGCTGACATATCTTCTGATGCTGATATTGATACTGATATTCTGATGTTGATTCCATCAGAGTTTCTGTAAATACATAACATAATTTTAAGTAGCATATATGTCTTATATAAATCTTATAATTTATTTAATCTTGTATTTTGTTATCATCAAAACTCTAACTGAGGGTTGTAGAATCAAACTATGTTCTAACAATCTACCCCTTTTTGATGATGACAAAAACCAGATTTTTTCAATTAAAATAAAAT